GAAAGGAAACCATGAGTAAAACCCATGAAGGAATGTGTCTGCAACTTCTCACATATTCCAACATGATGTTCAAGCTCTGGAATCACTAAGCGTATGCAGAGAAGATGAGTTACAATCTTTGTGAGATCTTTGAATATGCTTATGAGAATCTAAGGTGAAACTTTTATTGTTGAATCTGCTGTTGGCAACTGAGGTAGTTTTTCTTTATGCTGGCAGTATAATCTGTGCTCGTCAGCTTCATCGGTGGCTTGAGTCAGATTAGGTCTCAGTACAAATGGGAAGAACATAAGCCTTCGACTGGTGAGCGCTCCGTCCTCTGATGGTGGAGAGCTCACCAGAGTTTGTGGCGTTTCATTCTAGCCGCACATGCTTGTGTCACAGAATGTGGTTTTCAGAAAGGTTGGGAAAGAGTGTGGCTAAAAAGAAATATGCTTGTCTCTCAGTTTCTGCAGTGGGATAGTTTTGGCACCAGTGCCTGTTTCTTGGAGGTAACTTGCACAAGCCATGTATGCGCACAGAAACAGCGGCAGAAAAATTGCCATTCCGCTTTGGATAAATGCACTCAGTTCACTAACAAGCCTGGCCTCCTTTGCTGTGTGCAGCAGAGCAAGGGATACTTCAAGGACTAATTCAGTTCCTGGCAGAGTTGAGAGTAACCTCATGACTACCCTAAACCACCAAGCTCTTAGTGAAAGCCAGGGGCTGGCAGGCACCAGAGTGATGGAAGTGGCATAAGAACCAGGCAAGATTCTACAAGAGTAGGCTAGATTTCTCATTCATCCAAGACAACCTGCCCTGCCTCTTTGTTAAAGCCTTTTTGTCTGTTAAAAAAACAAAACCCAAAAATTCTCACTCTAGTATGCTTGCATGGATAGACACACTTGTAAATTGGAACCTATTTGGATGCTTTTCTTTCTTGGATTACAGACCCAGTCTGGCTCCCACAGGGTGCATCTACATGTGTGCTTAATTGTGCAGTAGACTAATTTGCTGCAGTATGAAGTGTTACAGTCTATATGCGCAATACTGTTAGACTGCAGCAAACTAATTTTCACTGGCATAATATAATACTGTCAGGGACAGTACTATTTTATGGTGGCAAAAATAACTGCGCCTAAACGCATGTGTAAATGCTAACCTGGGCATAAATTGTGCCTGCTCAGCCCAAGCAGCAGGGAGCAAGACCCCTGCCTGCTGCCTAGCCACATGGCTCTGCTCTTCAGGCACTCTTGTGCCCCAGCCAGCCCTGATGCCATGACCCAGAACCCGGCGCTGATCCCCTGAGCCTGCTGCCAGCCCAGGGCTGCTCCACCCCATATGAAACTGCTGCAGTCCTAGGCGCACATGAAGATGCTGCACCTGAGAGCAGTTAACTCTGGTGCAAAGTGTGCTGTAGTTTATTCAGTTGATTTAACCCTAGCCACTGAAGTCAAAGTTAAAACCCGGTAAGAGTTGGATCACAGCCTGTAGATCCAAAGGGACAAAGTAATTCCCCTCTTATCCAAACTTTTCCGAGCACTTTTCAGGCTTCAGTGATTTAGCTCTATCCACTTTTCCCTGGGGGAAAGGGATCAGCCCAGTCCAATGAGTCATGGAGGCATTGTCTACTCCCAGCAAGAAAGGACCAGAGGTAGTGTTAGGTCCATAGGACAAAACTGTTTAATCTTCAGCACCTCTGCTATGAGGGCCATAAATTTAGCACTTTTTTCACCAGGCTTTCATGATCTTCTCCATTGGCTTCTGATGTTCTCCTACATCCTTACAAGTTGCAGCAGGTTCTAGGACTTGTTTAGCGGGGGGAGGGAGAATGATCCATGGCTTAGTCTGCCAGAGATGAGAGATGGGATCGTAGGGAAGAAATTACAAATTCATCGTGTGAATAATAACGCGATATATAAACACAGTCAGTTACTTTGAGGGGGAAGAAATCTGTTACAGCACGAGTATCACATTAGCACTTCAAGCAGAAACCCTATAGCACTAGTATGGCTCCGTATTCATCTTGGGGCTGATCAAAAGTACAGCAGTCCTGGCTGAAATGCTGTACTGACTTCACTGGGTTTTGGCCCAGGCTTCTAATGCCTGAGGCAGAACAGCGCTCACACAGACTTGTTTTGTTCTACATGAGCCTTTGAAGGCAACACTTCAGTGTTGCTGGCATGTGCTGTTTATATTTTTCTTCCCCTATTTTTATTGGCTTGTGCTGTTTATTCCGATCCAAGATCAATCATATCTAGACTGTAAAAGATTTGATTAGATATGAATTTCAGTGGCTGATACTGATGGCCATTTCTAAATGATTTTGACTACTACTACTATGTAGTTGGTTATTTACATTTTTTAAATAATGGGACATAGATCTATATAGATGGAATTTTCAAGGGGACTTCTGGGAGCAGGGCACCCTAAATCTGGTTGGGATTCAACTACATATAAATCCTGTTTTAAATCCCAGCCAATGGTATTTGCAAATATAGGCTGGAATTTTCACTGGGAGCTAGGTCCCTTTATTTAAAAGCACATAAGTACCTAAAGAAGCAGATAGGTGCCTGGTGGGATTTTCAGAAGTGCTTAGACACCTAAGTCCCAAATGAAATCAAAAGGAATTGGAATCCTAATTACCTGAGGGCTTATCTACTCATAAAGTCCTGAAAATGTAACTCTACCAAGATAGGTAAAGTGAAACAGTCTTCCAATGTGGGCACAAAAATACCAGTATAATGGAGATTTATACTACTGCTATAGCTAATTCTATATTGAAGAGAATTACCTTATCCCGAAAGGGATTGTGCCATTAAAGCTCTATCAGTAATACCTAAGTGAAACAGTTATGCTGGTACAAAAGCTGTATTAGACCACTCCTTAGACTGCTTTGAAAATGGATGGCTGATATTGTCTGGAGAAAATAAACTATATGACTTTGTCCTTTCTCTCTCCTCAATGATCTATATGTTAAAAACATGAATACACAAAGGTACAGACAACAGTTATAGGAAAAATACAGATTGTCTCATGTTCTTCAGACCTTCCTTATGGATATACAGTATACAATGCAAAAGGGGTCTGATTCCTTGACCTCTGGATAGTACTATAATAACTAGCAAAGCCATTCCCTTGTGATGTTTTGGTTCTCAACCTTTTCTTTGCCTTTTGACTGTTAATTCTAGACATTTTTCTCTGCATTCATTTTCATGGAGGCAGAAACTGCTTATTACCAATTTGTCATGTTTAAAATCAGTTCCTCCCAAGCTTAATGATGTGTAGCCTGTATATTACAGATACCAAGTGATAACCTCTGCTATAACCCTTGAAGGGGGCTGATCTTACATTCCTTGTACTCTCTAGAGTTCCCATTAAACAACCAACCCAAAAATAATTGCAGACACAAGACTGGAGCAAGCAAAAATATGCCTTCTCAAATCATATAGCTTCTGGCTCATCCAGAGTAAAATTCACTACCTGTGCAATGGGATAGCCCGGTGTCTCTTAATCATTTAAAACCCACTCCTCAGTATAGAGCCAAAGAGGGAAATAAATGGTGGTTTTAAGTATGCCCAGACAGTAGGCAGAGTCAAACAGTGCCCAGTGTTGTAGCTCATCATTCTCTGTATATTCAAGGCACACTGACCCCATAAAACACTTCTTGGATGCAGGTACCTAGAAGCATCTTTTGAGATGTTTACATTAAAACCAGTCTGACTCCAGGATCACCTTCCCCACTGCATTACTTGTTTTTCCTGACATAACATGCAGTAAAGTGAATTTGCAATAAAAAGAAAACAAAACATGAAAGAAGCATGCTATTTGCAATATCTTCCCAGCTTCCTGGGCGGGACGATGGCAGATCACAAGCCCTAGCTCCGCTCTTGAGCAAGCCCAGCAAGGAGTGGATAATCAAAGTTTTGCTGTCAAGATACATGTGGATTGTGGGTTGGTGATCAGTGTCGGTTGCTCTAATACATTCTTTTTCCATAGCTATAAGAACCCAACTGAATTTATGATGGTTAACTTTGGCTCTGTTTGCTTTGTGCTTCCTTGGATACATGCTGACTTGTAAATATGCTGACTCAATGGATGGCTGAATAGTCAGAGTTTGTACTAGCAGAGTTTTTTTCTAGCCAGAGGAGGCTGGATTGTTGCTGCCCTTTCATACTTGGAGATATGTGTTCAGCTGCGGGGAGCAGAGGAGGGAGGAGCCATTTACACCAAGGGGCTCTGCCTCTGCACTTCTGCAGTATAAGCTAGATGGAAATGTGCCACCATCAACACCCCCACCCGTTGAACCCTCCCTCTCTGAGTCCTGCAGGAGAGTACTCACAAGGGACACGGTCAACATTAACACTTGTGTGAATTTGTCCTGTGGGATGGAGAGCGGGCAAGGTATGTCCATGGTGCAAGCAGTTCACTATTCAGTTTGCTGCCCCTCTCTTTGTAGGGGAGCCTGAAAGGCAAAATTCTTTATTTTATATTTAATTAGAAATGACTAACTACATAGTTTTATTTTAGCAGCTAAAAACCAGCAGGTAGACCAAGACTTAAGCCCCTTGTTTAACTAGAGACCAGAGCGAGTTTGCTTGGAAACTCTCTCTCACCTTCCTTCGCTGGAAGCTTGCCGAGAGGAAAAGGTTGCAGGGAAAAGGCAACCCTTCAGATCAAGGAACAGCAAACAGGCCAACTACAGAGGAGTTTGCTAGGGAAGGTGTGCTTGGAAAGAAAGCCATGAAGTGAGAGGCAGCAGATTAGAGGACCCAGAGACATGGCTGGATGATGTCACAATCCCAGAGCCGCTGCCACTTCAGCTCTTCCTTTGCTTCCACGTGTGAGGTGTCCACCCAGGTCCTGTGTAGACTGCAGCTTGCAGATTCCTGCCAATGTCAGCCAGGTGGGGGAGTGCTTGCAATGTGAATGGTGCATTCTGGTGGTGTCCCTCATGGAGAAGGCAACAGGAGGAGGTAAGAAGGCTCCGAAGCATCCTCTGCCTTGTGGACTCTATCAGTTCCATGCTGGATGAAACCTCTAGCACTGTGGAGGAAGGACTTCCAGAGGTGACGCTAGGAAAGGAAGAGGACATGGAGTCCCAGGAAGGTGGAAGCTGGAAGCTAGTATCTTCTGGCAGCAAGAAGAAGTCATCCCCACATGCAGCGGTTTGCCTGGAGAACAGATGTGGAGCAATAGAGGAGGAGGAGCACATTCCGTTGGTGGAAGAGTCCAAGCCAGGAAACCCCTAGGTGGGGAGGATTGAGCAGGGGCAATGCGTAGGGTGTGCACGCAGGTGCACATGCACCCCCTGAGCATGGCAGTGCACCCTGTACAAAAAGGCACTGCTGACAGGATGCACTGATTTCACAGAATCATAGAAAATTAGGGTTGGAAGGGACCCCGGGAGGTAAAAACCAGTGGAATTTTACAACAATAGTTCAAAATCTTTAAATTTAGCAATGTACTCTGGCCGTATTGGAGCCCTACTATTTCCAAGCATTTTTATGTGCATCCTAAATGGAGTTTATTTACTGCTAAATGCTATAGGAATGGGCCAGACAAAAAAAAATCCCTTGATAGAGCACTGAGAAATATCTTCTAATACATAGTGATAAAATGCTGTGGAATATATTTAATTCCATAATGAATATACCTTATAGAGTTATGAAATGCTGTATTCGCTGTACTGCTATACAGTACTGTGAAACCTAGAGCCTCAACTAGGACATTGATCAAACCTTAAGACACAGTAATTTAAATAGCACTTACTTGTTAGATGACGTAAGAAACTCACTTTCATTATACAGTGTTATTATTTGAACCTGGTGAGCCAACAGGGGTGGGGCAGGCAGCATGTGTTCCCTTTAATGAGCACATGGATGGTGGGTCATCAAGAAAAACCTGGATTAAACAATAGAAAGAGCAAAGAGGGTTTGTGAGCGGTGGAAAGAGAACTTTTAACTCCCAGTCCAGTCATCAGGTTCAGAAGGCAGGGGGAGGAGGGAAGTTGTGGGTGTCAGCTGGGGAAGGAAAGGCTGCTCTGTGGTGACAGAAGTGAAGACATCTCACAGGAACGAGCTGTTGTAGAACTAGCTCCTGCTCCCGGCCACTATCACACATCTGCCCACGATGGTGGTGTCGAGGAGGCTCCAAAAGAAACCATATGTTGGATAAATATGGTAGTGTTTCATTCTTCTTGCTTGTAATAAATAGTACTGTAACACAATAGGTTTGACTTATTAGCAGAGATCCCCTCCTCTGGACTGTCTGGGCCAGGCATCCAGACCAGCCTCCTCTCAGTCAGCCAGCATTGGGAAGAGATCCCAGCTGACAGGCAAGAAGACCTCTTCTCATCCAAATTCTTACCAGCGCCAAGCGACTCAGTGCTGTCTGCCATAAATATGGCCCAGTAATGGCTTCCCAGGACTAATTCCTGTCCTGCTCATTCTAATATGGACAGATGATGTGAGCCGTACTGCTGTAGGTTTTGTTTTTCACTGGAGCCACTGTCCTGGGTGTCACCTCACCCCACTCTCCTATGAGCAGTGACTTTGTCTAAGTAAACAATGGTTTTTACTCTCTCCTGGCTTTTTTGTACCTTTGCCTTTCCCAAGAGGTGAGGAGATCCAGTATACCTTGTAACAGAGGATTTCACCCCTGTTACTGAGGGTAAACCATGGGAAAAAGCTGTAGAGCTAAGTCCCTTTGAGGTGAGGCCCTTTAGAGACAGAAGGGATGAAGAGATGAAGCTAGGGACAAGCTGCAGACCCATCCCCTCCTGGAGACGGCATACTGGTAAAGAGGACTCCCTGTGTGAGCTTGACTGGGCAGGGTCAGGTGACCGGAAGAGGGCAAGGGCCCAGAGACAAAAGCTGGTCCCTGGCTTCCAACTGTGGGAGAGGAAAGGCTTAGTTGACTTGGGAGATTAGGTCAGCCAAGGAGTGGATGAAGTTTTTATGTTTGGGACTTTGCTGGCAGCCCAGAGTGGTAGGACAGTGTGTTAAAAATCTCTGTTGATAACAACCGGTGGAATTTGTGCGGCTATGAGGGGAGATGTGGAGGCTGTATAGCAGAGTGCTGGCATGAGACTGTAGTAATTGACCCTAAAAAGGGTGGTGAGTACCTGCTTTTGGACCTAGGATCTGCCAGAGTGGTAAAGGTAAGGAGCCCCCAGGCCTAGCCCAGAGGGTAAACCAAGGGCTCTGGGTTTGAGACTCTGTAGAGATAGAACTAGGACTATTAGCTAGGCAAGGAGAGACCTTATGGATAGAAAGGCTGGGGCCCTGGAAGTGGTTAGTGGGGACATAGATGAGGAAAAGGCAGTATGCACCTGGCTCTAAGTCCATGCCATCACCTCCTTTCTGGGATAAGGCAACCTCTCCAAGTTATTTAATGAAAGGCGTGGCAGGATAGTGGGATAGGGGAATTCTGCAGCCACTGGCAGACTGAAGCCCAGACCTACCCACCAATGGTGCCGTTATGTACTGCATAGCTCCAGGAAGGTGGATGAGACAAAGTACAGTGTAGTAATGGTAGCTATAATAACACAATGCCAATTCCAGATGCATTTGGCTGCAGAGGCCCCAGTCATGATGGCATACCAGCATTTAAAACCAGGAATGGCTGCTAATCAACATGGCTCCAAATCAAAGTAATGCACAGACCTACTAAAGCATTCAGTGCACATGTGATACAAAGCAGCTAGGGATTGCACTTGGGAATCCAACAAGCCAGTACAGTATGAATGCACATACACAAACTTTTTGTCTGCACTAACATAACATACGTGCACTGAACAATAACCTGTGTTCAAACAAGGATAGAGGCCAGGTGTTACCTTGCCAATTAATAAGAATCACGTGATGTGAGTGGCAGGCCAACTTAATGAGCACATGCTAAGCTTAGTGTGAACTGCATCATGGTGTGGGGACAAATCTTGGCACAGATGAGTAACAATGTTACACTTTGATCTAAAAGTGTTCCTGTCAGCTGCTGATGGGAACTGAGAAAGCTAAGCAAGAAATAGCACAAAACAGAAGTAGTTGATGTTATGTCATGCTCAGTGTGCTCTAGAGGTGTAGTCTTTTGTCATTCTTGCTCCCCCTTACACACAGAGCAGGTAGAGTGCCACCAAACTTATGATACTCACCTGACAGGGGCAAATAGCTTCAGACAAGTATAAAGTAATTGTTTCTAGGAAATGTAGAGAGAAATCCCCTCAGTCTTTATTTCAGGTTAGTGATTCAACGTGTAATTGAATCCAAGAGTTATGCAGGGAGGAGAAGAGGATTTAGTCACTTAGTCCACAAACCAAATGCCCAGGAGAAGGCTTTGGCAAAACACCTGGGCTAAAAACAGACAGCTGGCTCAATTCTGACTGGAGTGTTTTATCTTGCAGCAAACCTCAGACCTTCTAGATAGACCAGCCCTTTGTACCTGTGAATTATGCAAATTCATACTTTGCCTGGGAATAATCATGGCTAATTCCAGTTAATTGCTATTTAAGCCTTACATGTAGATGACTGCATCTATTTTGATATGAACCATATCCCCGACCAATCAAAGCCGCATTAAACCAGTTGTCTCTTTTTAGCCCTGAGCTATACTGCCACCATAGGGCATAAGCTATGTGTGCACAAGCTATGGATTTAGTGACTGGGGGGCACTTCCCTGTGTTGTCCAACTCCATTTCCAGTAGTGCGGAAGGGCAGGCTTGTTTGCCTTCTCTGCTTTTTGCTTCCTTGCTGAGTAAAAACAGTAGAATTGCACTTGGTCACTAATGGAGAGGGTCACTGAACTTTTGAGGATTAACCATTCACAAAGAACTTAGTGAATAAAGGAAAAGCTGTTGCTCAGGGTAAATTGGTCTTTCAAGTCTGAAATCCAGGGAAAGGTAATTAAGCATCAGATCACCTGGTGGAAGAATGTTATCACCAGATGGGCATGATGAGACTTATTGGGAGAACACCCTGCCTGGCACAGGAGATTGACTGAGGTTATAAGAGAAAGGGGCTTTCTTTAGCTATTGTAGAAGAAGTTTAGGATGGGAGAGTATTGGCATAGGGCTCTTTGTGCTGCCTGCAGGTAGTTTCTCTGAAGTACAGTCCTTGACTTCTTGGAGAACTCAAGCCTGTGCTCAGAGAATGGTCTATAGTGATGAGGAAAATGAGTGTTTGTATTGTTTTTGTTTTGATCTTAATGTTTCTTGAGTGAGTCTGGGTCACCCTTACAAAGTTTGTGTTTGCTATAGGGCACAGCTGCTGTGTGTCCTTGAAGAGAGAACCTGTAAATGGGGAGTACCTGCAAGGATAGAGCTCTGGGCCAAGGTGTCCTGAGTCTAGTGGAGGGACTGGGAGTTGGCATTGATCCTGGGGCAGCTGGGTTGTGGGGTCCCATTATATGAAGAAGTCGCTGGCAGAGAAGTTATACCTGGAAAGTCACCAAGGAAAGAGCTGTAGTGGTGACTATTGGGACTAATGGAAGCTAAGAATGTGTGGACCTAGTGCATGAAGCCCAAACAGAGCAGCCTGCTGAGTGCCCAGAAGGGGAGAGGCTTGCTGGGTTAGCCCTAATGAATGCTCATTAACCACATGTGCAGTTAAAGCTATGGCTTTAGTTCTATGGAGCCTCTCTCCTCCCAGATCAATTGGCAATTTTCCTCCTATATCATACTCTGAAGTACTAGCACTGAATAGGAAGCAATGACCAATAATGCCCAAAGGACATTTCTGTCTATGATAGGAAGGTGGTATCTATATAAATGAATGATGCATTATGATCTGGTTAGCACTTTGCACAGGGGTGAGTTATTTTTATGCGGTGCAATGCAGTGAGGTGTCTGGACCTGAGATTAAGCAAAATGCCACTTGAAGGGAGCTGCTTCTTTTTCAGAACCAGGAGCAAACTCCTTTACAGAAATAATTTCACAAACCTCAGCTTGCACTAGTAACGGCTAATCAATGTACTTCTGCATTGCTTTAAAACCTTTGCTGAAATAAACCCAGCTAGTAGTAGATATTTGGATGAGGATCTTGGCTATTGTCAGACACATTCTTACACCAGAAGGCTATAGTTCATGGGCCAAATCCTCAGCAGATGTAAATTAATGTAGTGCTGCTGAAATTAAAAGGTGTATTTCTATCTGATCTGCACTGTTTCTATCACTGTGACAGCTGACTGCCTCCCTAATATAAGCTTCTCAACCAATTGCCCCCC